TTACATGTTTGTTCGTGAATGCAGGTGTTTGCTGGACTACAGTCATTTATTCATCCTCCTCATGCACAAACCTGAGGTGGAAAAAACACTCGAAACAAAAAACATCCCCAGCAAAGTATCGGCATTTAATTAAATTCATATATTTCTTCACAAACTTACATATCACAATAATAGCATGTAGAGTGGATCATATTGGAACAAGGCTTTACCTGCACTAAGAAGCCATGCTGCAGAGTGGGGGTGGTCTTACAGTGTCCGATGGCCTGGGTGCAGAAGAGCAGCTCGATCAGATGTTTGGTGCTGAGCTGTGCTGATGATTTGACTGCTGACACCAACACCCTCTGTGAAAGAAGACACACAAACACTTTTAGTAAATAAATAAAATTAAAAAAACAGTAAGACTGTTGCACAACCAGTAGCACTGGCTGTCCGGAGGGAGTCTCACCTTCCCACTGGGTGTGTAGGTGAAGAGCTCTCCTCTGGGATTCTTGATGGTGTAGTAGGTCGTGTGATTTGTGAATCGGCTCAGTTTCATGGCTGGTAAAAAAGCTCTTCCTCTCATAGATGGAGGCTGGAGCTCATTCGACCTGCTCACAGTGACGGAACAGAGAGGTGAACACCTATCCAACAACAGATCCAGTCAGAAGTGAAACAGCTGGATTCCTGAAGTCGCCACTTACTTAGACAGTGGTAACCAGATGCTGAGTCGTGCTCGGAATTTCTTGATGGTTCCACTGGGCCTGAACCAGCTGTGTCTGCGCTTCTGCTGGACCACGATCTTCTCGTTGGTCAGGTGGTCCCACACCCGGGATATGAAAACTGTGAGAATACTGAGGAAGAGAACACATCAGGAAAGTGTTGTCTTTATGCAATTATGGATAACAGATAATGAGGGATGAAGTCTTACATCACTGTATCCAATCCATTTTTGCACTATTTGTGCTACTCTCTCTGTTCCTTATGACTGCATACTATGTCGTACTGTGTACTATGTTTTGAGCACTAATTCTTTTGTGTACTTATATATTCGGTTCCTGCGTACTTATATGTTGTGTCTACCTATATGTTCACACAGGGATCAGAGAGAAACAGCATTTCAATACTGTCTATGTCCTGTACATATGGCAGAATTGATATTAACGCTGATTTTGACTTTGACTGAGTCTTCCCATCACTGCCATAAGAGGACACTCACTTCTGCAGCTGTTTCCCGAGACTGAAGTGATCCATGTTGGAAGGCTGGAAGACCTCAACTGAAGGTGCTGCAGTGGGAAATATCATTTTATCAGCGGCTGGTCTCACTACATTTACTGCACAGTTATCTTGCAGCAGTGTTGTAGATGCTCACCGGGTCCATCCAGATACTGAGACAGAGAAAAGTGCAGACGGATAACAATGGGCTCTGACGGGTTAATCCTCCAGGCTTTGGCCACCTCCTCCTGTGGACACACACAAACAGCATGAACAGGCCCGTGATGCTGTGACAGGAAACTTGACTGTGGAGCTGAAAGCAGACAGAGAAGTGAGCCAAGAAATTATATTTTGGATGCAAACAGGTGTTTTAACAGAACAATGACCCTACAGACAAATCAGAAAAGGTTCTGGGATGATAACTAAGCTAATTTTATGATTATATAATTGTGCTGAATGTATATTTTTGATCCATTGGACTCTGTTAAATTTTCTGTAGATGCATCGTTAGCATGTTATGTTAAATTTGTGAATTTGTGAACTTTTGACTCTAACATTTACAACAGGACTGTAAAGTTAACTTACATCCAGAAAGTTGGCTTTAATGTTTAAATCAACGTCCACAGCATCGATTGGTCGATACACCCTAACAGAAGAAGAATGAGGAGAACATTAGATCATGTAATAGAGTGCCAGGTTTAACTGAGAGAAGCTGTTCAGACGTTCACCTGACAGAGACGCCAAAGTCTGAATACAAAGTCCTGACGGCCTCGATGTCCGTCTCCAGCTGGGGGTGGTGATACAGGTCAGTGGCACAGCTCTCCTGCAGAGACAAACACCAACACACTCACCTTATGGTGCAAACAGCTCAGCACCGCAGGGCACTGACGGATTAAACCACTCAGTTCTTAACAATAGCTGAGAAGACGACTGTTACTACCATCATCACAAAAGGTTTGTGAAAACACTTTATTGTATCAAGCCTTTTTAAAAAATCATATGCTGCAGTAATATTCATTGAGCTACGAGGAGGTGACTGAGAGTGATGTTTACTTGTATTCCACACAGGATCTCCCCTGTGTCACTGTCCTCGTCAGTCTGGCTCTCTGTCCACTGCTGGCACTCATTCTCCTGTCGGGTTAATGGGAAAAGCTGTTAATCAAAAGATCCTATTATTTATGGAGATAATCGTTTCCCTGTGCTCAGACTGATTTCAACATCTAACTGATCAGTTAGAGGATTTCTTCTTATATCTGAGCATTTCAATACAGGATATATGATAACATGTAATATAAGTCTTGGATTAATTGAGTGATAAGGTTTTTTGTAAAAAATCTGCTAATTAGGTTTCTGTTTATACTATGAGGCTGTTTTATTAATAAAATGACCCAGGGTCAGTTTCTATCTGTTCTATATTTTCAAACTAAAGCTATTCAATTCAAAAGTAGCAAATATCAACCACTGATTTATTTCCAAATTGTCACAGATTGATTTTCTTTCAACCGCTGATCAGTTAATTGAAAGAGAGAAACTGGAGATTTAAAACTACACTCACCATGCACTCAGTCCTTTGACACTTCTTCACCAACAAGAAACAGTGTCTTCGCTCCACTGTTCTAAACAGAAAAACTGGCAGAACATATGCGACTTAATCAGTTCAGCTGCAATAGACAAAAGACTATATTGATAATGGAACAAGCATAAAATCAAGTTATTACCTTTCTTTAACGTGAAAATCTCCACATATTCCACTTGAGAAACCTTTTAATCCGATAAAAAATATATATATATTTGACCCCAAAACTACCAAAACAAACAAGGATCTCTGTTTGACAGCTTGGCCGGCTCTCCTCTACCCCTGTGGTTTTGAACAGCAGGAAGTCGCACATGTTCACTCTCAGACTTCAGCGTCTGTGATTGGCTCCAGATACCGACGGACCAATCAGGCGAGCCTGGTCCTGAGAGGCTGGGGGGGATGAGGACCTGCAGCTCCAGGGCTTTTATTGCACACTTACAGTCGAATGCTGTCCATTGCAATGCATGTGAAGAATATTCCTCTTTAAAAGACGACAACAAAGAAATCCACACACTGTCCTGCAGCCTCTTGAAAAGTTAGGCTGATGAATGTGTTGTAAACCTGTGATGTGAACAGAGATGACCGGTGGCAGATTTTGATGGATGGTGATTCAGGTGATGTTTGGTGTGTGTTGGTCATCCTGTCCGTCTGCGGTGCTGTAGTCTGACCTTAATCGGCAGTTACCCTTGTTAGCAGTCGCCTGCTGCTCTGTAGTCTGGTCAGATTAGGTACTTGCAGGACTGCATACATCTGTGCAAGTCTTCTCTCAACAAGTACTTTTCTCAGTAATCCACTTAGATGAGAGCAGGTGTTTGTTACGTGGCCGTGTGTAATTATAGTGGGTGGGCACAATATCCATGTATTTGATACCGTATGCTGCACATGGTCAAATATTTCTATGAACCGATCAAATAGAAAGCAAATAAATCTTCTGCTGAGATGAGTGAACACATTTCAGAAACAGCAGAACATTAAGAGCTTCACAAAGGTTGTGTCTGCTGCAGGATAATTGGTTTATATTGTATTAGAATGTGCAGTTTTGTGTTGTTGTGTCCACTCATTTTAATCACCTTCAGTTTATTATTTATAACTTTTTTTATCTGTCAAGTCAGCAGTTTTTTAATCCTGCTTTCAACAGGTGGTGTCATTGAGAAGACACAAACATGAACAAGGTACATGAATGGATATTATTTGTTTAATATGTATTTCCATAGGAATAGGACCAGTGTCACATACCGTGGTGTTTATGGCATTGCTAAAAAATTGTGATTCAATAAAGTTGATTGTAAAATCTGAATCTACAATTTAATCACACTATCCACACTATTAAAACAATTATATTGAATGAGAATTTGTTTTTATTTGTTAAGCTATTCAAAAAAATCTGGTAATATAACAAGCAAAAATAATTTGTTCAGATGACATCATGAAAAGTGTGTCGTGTGGTTGTGTGCAGCTCAATGTCAAGCAAATGGTTGATTTCATTCTGTCGACACAGCAAAAATCAAGATGAGATGAGTTTGAACATGTGGTACTTATACCACATGTCCATGGCCCTGCACATACTGTACATACATGCATACACACATGAACACACACACACATATATATATATATATATACTATATGTATGGAACAATCTGTCCAGTGATATCATGTTGGCTGACTCAGTAATCTTTTCTAAGTCCCTTGGACTTCTTTGTTATGATTCTTGTGAAGACAGTTCAGTATGTACACAGTACAGTATGTTCAGTCTTCACAAGTGTATTTATGTATATGTATATAATCACAACATTTATTCATAATTTGTTTAAGGTAAAGAGAAGAAAAAGATAAGATCCTCCTTTTCTTGCATTGTGGAGGCACAGAGATCATCGATAGCACACATAAATCAGACATTCTTCTATTTAGCATGTACTGACTGATTCAACTATACTTTTATTAGTTTTTCCTGTGTGTAGCACAGTATATTTGAATTTTCACAGAAGTCATTCAATGGGATTAACAGAAATTAAAAAAGCCCAAAAGTACAGATCACATGTATAAAAACACTTCAGAAATGGTCAAAGATTAAAAACATAACAACAAGTAGAAACACAAATTGTAAAGCCGGTTATTGTGTAAAATGTGTAATGTGTAATGTATACACTGAGGTCATTTAATGTGATTTACAGAGATAAAAAAGTATAAAACTACAGACCACACAAATAGAACACAATAGAAATGGTAAAAAGTATTTATTTTATAAGTAAAGAAACACACATTATAAAACAGGTCATGTGTAAACTGTGTAATTATGAAGGCTGAAGTGATGAAGTAAGAAATAACCAACAATGAAAGGTCAGATTTTCTAAACGGTCTTCATGTAACTCAGTATGAACCTGTCAGTATTGAGTGATCCTGGATTTAAGGCGCCTCTGGTTCACTTTGTCCCAGCGGAAAGATCTGTGAAAGTGTAGATCACCGCTTGTACCTGCGCTGTATCCTTCCCCACATTCCTCCAGCCCCTCGTCTGTAAAAATGTGATGAAGACTCTGACATGTTTTTATGTCTCCAGGCAGCTTCTGTATATTTAACCTCATGCATTTCCTTAAGCGGCACGCCCTATATCCTGTGTCACCGCATGTTGGTGACACAGGAAAGTAGTTCCGGCTGGTGGGGGGCAATAAAAGGCTGTGGCTGCAGCAGAACCAGCGGAACTTTGGTCCCTGCGAAGTTCACTCAGTAGGTGAGTAACAGTGTGAGTGTGAGAGTTTGTCTTCAGAGACTCATACTAATCTGATAATACATTTATTATATCATTATTATTCAGATTATTAAACTGAAGAAACTTTTACTTCTTAATCAAATAATTAACTCAATGTACTTAATATTACCCAGCAATTTGTTACAATGTGACAAAAGACTATATTGATAATGGAACAAGCATAAAATCAAGTTATTACCTTTCTTTAACGTGAAAATCTCCACATATTCCACTTGAGAAACCTTTTAATCCGATAAAAAATATATATATATTATTCAATACAAATTCAAACTTCATTTATCACACTGGGGGCAATTCATTTGCACGCTTAATGAGGGAGAAGAATGTATTAAAATGATTTAGAATAAATAACAAGTTATGCAAGACATTACATTATATATATATATACTGCACTTCTTGCTTTGTTTATTTTTCTTTAAATATTTGTATACTTTTTATTAGACTCAGCTTCTATACTGCACCTTATTAAACTGTCTCAGGTCTGCGAATTGTGTCGTATTTAACAGCACTCTGTATTTAGAATTGTATCTATCTACATAATGTACATGTCGAATATATATATATATATCTAAGTTATACAATTTAATTACAATGGATTAGATTTAGTTTTTTGTATTTTGCAGTCAGTAAAACTCTAAGCTGACCATGTTATTTTTCAACAAGCGCGCTACAGGCAGTTATTCTTTGTGTGTATGAAGCGGCGTTAGTCTCAGTCAGGAGTCACCTCTTCTTCAGCTGCACGTACACTACACTCCTGCTGGAATGTGGGAGAGTGCAGTCAGGCAGGCACATACTGTTGTTGTTGCTTTGTGCAGAGGCTCTCTCCGCTCAGCCCACACAGCCACTCCTCACTGGTAGACTTTAGATTTATCCATACAGATGTCACACCTTATTATGAGTGTTTACTTTTCCATTCAAATTCTTATTCTATCCCGTCGTGATTTAGTTCCCACACCAGGTTTTTGATCATTTCTTGCATATGCATTGCTTCTATAACAACCTCTGGGTTTAACGTGAAGCCCCTATGTCAACATTAGTGATGCATTGACTTGAACTGTTTTATGTGTGTGACCCATGAAAAAATCTTGTATTCAACTTTAAAGTAATGTCACAGGTATTTTGGGAGTTAATCAATCAAGTCTCTTGTTTCCCTCTGCGTCTCCTCAGGTCTTTTCCTGCAGGTACAGAACCAATCATGTTGAAGACAAAGGATACAGGCTCTTCGGTTATCCACACCCAGCAGCTGCACGCTGCCATGGCGGATACCTTCATAGAGCACATGTGTCTGCTCGACATTGACTCTGAACCTGCCGTGTCTCGCAACACTGGCATCATCTGCACAATCGGTCAGATATCAATTTATTCCTCCAGCAATGATTAAAGCACATGTATTAATGTTTAAAATATCCACACGACCCCACAAATGTCCCACTGATCCATGTGTCTTGATGTAGGACCTGCCACCCGATCTGTGGAAATGTCCAAGGAAATGATCAAATCTGGGATGAACATCGCAAGAATGAACTTCTCACATGGCACACACGAGGTGAGGCACTGAAACATCTTATCCCCCATAGTGAACGCCAGGTGATTAAACCCCAAATGTCAAAGTCATGTCAAAGCCATGACATCACGTCCAACACGCTCAAGAGTTTGAATGCAGACGGTCTCTGTGCCCTCTGAGGGAGCTTCAGCATGGATTTACCCTTTACAGCTGCGTGACATTACTCCGGTGGCCTGCTAACTGTAATGTGATCCGAGAGCTTGTACTTGCCCCTTTGGTGCTGGCTCAGAGTTGTAGCTCGGCGAACCAACTGTATCACAGCCAACCCTTCACCACTGACCTCTCGCCATTAAAAGTCAAGCCTCTTCACCTTTTCACTGTCACCTGAGCGGACGAGGCACCGTCTCTCGTCTTTCATCAGCTGTAATACCAACACCCACCGTTGAACTTTAAAGGTTAAGTGGTTGATTTGTTTGTGGCTGTGAGTTGCCTGTGCAGCAGCGGGAGAGCTCAGAACTGCTGAATAATTATTTTGCTTTGCATCTAGTTGTGGTTTGAGCAACATAAAATAATAAAACTTCTCCTGGACAAGGCGTATGATTCACTATGAAAACGTGTCTCATTGCTGTGTCAGTTGTCAGCGCAGCTATAAATAGGTCATTTCTGAGAGCAAGGCGAGCAGCAGCAGTGCAAGCAGGAGGCATGACTAGGGGTCACAGAGAGACATTTATGTTTACTGACTGAACATAGTGGTCATATTAGACAATGCTGTTCTGTATTGTTACATGTCATTACTAGATCCATAACTATAATAGGGGGTTGAGTCCATACGGAAAAAAAGAATCAGAGATCTCGAGAATAATAATAAAAGAAAGAAACCATTTAAGGAAATAAGCAGCAAGGAGAACCAGTGTTTGTCGGAGTTCCACTCCCTCTGGATCCAGTCTCCCTGTTTTCTAGAGAAACCATGAAACCTCTTAGAATATCAGGCAGATGTAACCAACAGTAACCTTACAGTCGACCACTACCAAACATTTCCAAG